TGCAATTCACAAAATACATAAATGGATACATAGTCATTTACATAACATTGTATTGAACATGAAACTACTGACATATAAAGGATGTCATTAAATGTGTCTTTAAAGATTTCTTAAATTTAGACTCAGATGTTGTTTGTCTCTAGGGTTGGGGAAGAGAGTTCCAAACTGACGGAGCAAGGTGGGCGAACGATCTTTCAGCTTATGCAGTTGCGAGCGCCGTAAAACCTCTACTAAAACTAAAACTGTTATTATTACCATTATTAATATCATGACCAATATCATTTTGTATTATAGGCAGTAGTGTTCGTCGTTGCGGTGATGCTGTTTCTAGTGCTGTTATAATTTTTCTGGGTATAATTGTTACGTGTAACATCATTTTTATCACGTTCATGAATGAACTCACCGGTGTATGTGGTGCCGTGGTTAAGGGCTGCGCTGTCCCACGCAGAAGACCTGGCTTCGATTTCCGCGCGGGGAGAATTTTAATCGAGTATCACGGTCCGTCTGCTGGGACGCTCTATCACTTTTCAGCTGTCCGGGTTCGTTCTGACAGTCAGGGTCGTAACCCACTTCCCAAAATGATCTAAATTAATTTGTCAATAAAGTCAAACGAGACGTAAAATCACCTTTTCGTTGGGGGGGGGGGTTGTTTTGTTTTTTTTGTTTTTTACGAATGAGGTCAAAATGCGTACTTATCAATGAATGCCTTACGTGACTCGCACTTGAGTCCAGTGAAGTATACATTGCAATGACAGACAAAGGTGTCTAGTCCAGTCATCTCGCAGGTGGATGGACCCACACAGGGCATAGACGCACACGGATCTGCAGAGGAGATAGTAATTTGTAATGAGTATAAAGATTCAAGTAGAAAAAAATGTGAACCAAGCGTTTACGTGTGCGAGCATTTGTTTGTTGGAAGTCAACAGAGAAGTCTGAATGGGGAATCAGGCTTCCTCTGCTCACCTCTCTTGCGTCAACAGCACAAAGTCTGCTTCGACTATCAGTGCACCCCGGAAATAGCAGTTCACAAGAGAGTGACAAACACATAAAAGAAGCAGAGGGAAAATGACGATAGTGAGGGTGAGGAAAGAAAAATCAACAGTTCCCTCTATGTTGTTCGGCACAGTATGAGCATGGAATGGGTAATCAGCCCATTTACAATGCTACTGTGCGGAAGAAGAATATGTTAATATCCCCCCTTTGGAAAGAGGTTGTGGAGATTGTGAAGCCCTAAGCATGGGACGATAAAGAACAAAATGTTTTTTTTTCTTTCTCCCTTCCTCCATTCATTACCTGGAAATATCACTTGCACTGCAACGCAAACAGAGTCTGATGTTCTGTGGAAAGGAAGGAAGACTGTTTGACATCACCTCAGCGCATTCGAAGTAGAAATACATGTACCTAAATATAGTGTGTGCTTTTGTATGTATATATATAATATA